TTAACTATATTAATTAGGCTCTAGAGGAGGGAGAATAGGAGTAACAGAGTTAAATGTCTAAAAGTCCCACATAGAAATGTTTTCCTAGCCCTTCTGCAACTAGTGTGTCAAAGATGACAAGTTTTAAAATTTGTTTTTTAGAATTAGAGAAACAGTACAGTTTGTTTTGCATGTGTGTGACCAAGTTAAGTCACCAACACCGCAGAGCCCAGTAGGTGTAACCCCTGAGCACAGAGCCAAGAGTAAGTCTAAGCATAGCTGGGTGTGGCCCCTCCAGAACAAAAAAAAATCGTGATTTTTGTATTTAATCCAGTGGTTTATGACATATAGTTTAAATTAATAGCATGGTATCTTCTGTGTTAACATTGCAATAAATTATATTTTATATAAAATCATTACTTTATTAAAGTATAACAATGATATATAGCAGCATTAAATCTAATAGGAAAATTGTTTTAGTTTTCTAGACTCTATATGACTTCAGCATTCCCCTTGTTCAATTTCAGACCATTATCTTTGTTCTATAACACATATTTTTCCACAGTTCCAAAAATGATTTTTCAGGAACAAACATCTAATAATGCTATTACCAACTTATAGATTTCAAAGGACTACTTCTTGCCCTTAGGGGGGAAATTCACACCCTAAAATGTCCTTTACAATCTTCAGTTTTGAACTCAGGATAAGTTCATTGGTAAATAACTTGCCTTGCCATTGTGAGGGACTGGGTCTTACCATCAACAACACACAGAGCCTACAGTCTTCCTCAGTTTGACTAAACTATCAGTAATCTGTTCCAAGATACTTGTTATTCTATATTATAAAATTCAAAACTTGTGCCCGACTCTGTGCTCAGGGATCATTCCTATAGATGTTTGGGATGCCACGAATCAAATCTAGGTTGGCCACTTGCAAGGGAAGCACCCTACCCACTGTATTCTTCATCATAATGACTTTATACTAAATAGCTATAGCTATCAAAATAGCATGGTACTGGAATAAATAAAGGATGACAGATCAGTATGAGAAACCATTTATAAACATTCAATTATAGACAGTTATTCAGTGACAAAGGAATTGAGTACATAAAGTAGAGCAAGAAAACCTCTTCAACAAATGGTGCTGGGAAATAAAAAAAATAACTAGACTAATATCTCACATAATACATAATAATTCATTCAAAGGGTCAAGGATTTATAGATTAGATCAGAAACAATGAAATACATCGAATAAAATGATAGGCAGACACTTCTGGGTCTTTACATCAAAGGAGACTTCAATAGCATTATTCCGCTGGCAAAGATAAAAAATATGCAAGTTGGACTATCTGAAATTGAAAAGTTTGTGCAGGTCAAAAGAAACCTGGGCTAAACTAAAAAGACACCCATTTTACTGGGAAAATATACTCACAAATAATATATTAGATAAAAGACTAACTTCAATAATCTACAAAGTAATCAAAAGCTAAACAACAACATAAAAATCAACAATTGCATCAAAAAATGAGAAGAAGAGATGAATAGAAATTTCCACAAAGATAGCTAAAAAGCATATACAAAGTGCTCATTATTGTTTACTGTCACTGTCGCACTGTAGCACTGTCCTCCCATTGTTCACTGATTTGTTCAAGTGGGCATCAGTAGTATCTCCATTGTGAGACTTGTTGTTACTGTTTTTGGCATATGGAATATGCCATGGGGAGCTTGCCAGGCTCTGCCATGCATGTGGGATACTATAGGTAGCTTGTGGGCTCTCCAAGAGGGGCAGAGGAATTGAACCTGGGTCGGTCTCGTGCAAGGCAAATGCCCTACCCACTGTGATATCACTCCAGCCAATCCATTGTTTACTATCAGGGGAACAAAATGATAATAAGGTATAACTTCACACCAGTGAGAATTTATGTTTGTGTGTATGTGTGTGTGTGTGTGTGTGTAACAAAAACAAAAAGTATTGGTGAGGACGTTGTAAAAAAGTATTAACATCTGCTAATGCGAATGTCAGAAAATTTCTGGAGATTTATTTTTAAAAAGTTGAGAACAATGCTCCCATTTGACCCAACTATCTAACTTTTAGATATAAACCCCCAAAACACAAAACATTAATGTTTAAAAAATTAATTCACACCAAATATATTTTCATATATATTGAAACTATATGTGAAAACAGCTCTTAGTACAATAGCTAAGATCGAAGTAACCCAAATATCCAACACCAGAGGAATGGATAAAGAAGTTGAATTATCTGCTATACCAGGAATAGCACACCACATTGGATGGGATGTAAAGTAGAAGACAACCAATCTCAATTAAGAAAATATTAACACACAGGCTTAACCTGTAACAAATTAGTAATTTCTTATGCAAGGGTTTACTGGTCCAGGATGAGCTGCAAGAATCTTCACACATTTTCTTCTATGAAATTTTTTTTGGTTCATTTTTAATGAATCATGTATAACAAGCAATATAAAATAAATTATTTAGGGCCTGCTCTGGGGGAGGTTTGGGTGGTAGTTGGGAAAAATGGGAATGATGGTGGTGGGAAGGTATAATGATGGTTGGATTGATATTGGATTATTGAATTAATAAATCATCGTGAACAACTTTACAAAAATAAAATTAAATAAAAAGTAAAGTTGTGGTATATACTGCACTGTAAGCACTGTCCTCCCGTTGTTCATCGATTTGCTCGAGTGGGCCCAGTAACATCTCCATTGTGAGACTTGGTTGTTACTGTGTTTGGCATATCGAATGTGCCACGGGGAGCTTACCACACAACAAAATATTATGCAGCCACTAGGAAAAAAGTCATACAGTTTCCGGCAACTTGGAGGGAATTAGAAGGTAACACACTAAGTAAAATAAGTCAGAGGAAAAGGAAAATATAGGATGATTTCATTAATATGTGATATATAAAGATATATATATCAATTGTATGGGCAATATTAATTGATAATAAACCTCAGATACTAAAACACAGACTTGAGAGTACCAGGTTTGGGAGAGAGAGCGAGAGGAGAATGAATAGGTTGATTGGAAGTAAAACAGAATATCAGTGGTAGGTCTTGAGCACACGGGTGGTTCTAAGGGAGGTAACAGTATGCACTATGACCACAACTCTCTAAAAACAATGGGGAGAGGGAAGACTCAGTGAGAATGAACTTTGAGCCAGAGGTAACACAAGGATAGGGGTGGGGAGAGTCATAGGTACTTTGGGTGAGTCTTTGCAATAATTCAAAACGTGAATATCAAAAACGTGAACACTACTACACAATTGCAAACCTAACCTAGAGTAAAAATTTTTTAAGAAATAAGAGGAAACTAAGATTTTTGTTTTGTAACAGATTATGGCACCTATATATACACATATATCATTTTATATTTAAGCTATACAGAAAGATGAAAATCTGCAGTTTACTACAGCTTGAATGGAACTGGAAGATATCTTACTAAGAAAATTCAGTCAAATGAACAAGGACAAATAAGGATTTATTTCAGTCATATGTAGAGTTTAAACAAACATATAAGGGAATAAACATGGTCAATGATAATATATCTTGAGAGTCTGCCTATAAAACTGAGTTTGCTTAAGTGCATAGTTGAACTTAGAGATGGTGGTAGAGAAATGCTATATGCTCTGATGGTAGATATGGTGCAGCAACATTGCATTCTTGAAACATTAATATCAATGGTACTGAAAATTACAGAGGCCAAAGGAAAAAAAGCAATTTTTCATAAAATTATCAATTTTATTCCATTTTAACTCGTGTATCATGTATAGAGGGTGAGGATAAAGTATCAAAATCTGAACAAAAAATAAACTCTTGAAATCCAAAAGGGGAAAGACATTTCTTCTTCAAATATTTATTTTAAATCAAACGATGTGGGATGGAGAGATATTACAGGAGGTAAGGCTTTTCAGGCAAACTACCCTGGTTTGATCCCCACTACCTGATCTGGTCCTCTGAGTACAGCCAGGAGCACTGCTGGTGTGGCCCCAAAACAAACATAATCGAATGAAAAAGCATGAAAAATACGCATATTTTGCAGAAAAGTATATGAGAGATAAAAAAAGGACATATGGTAAGTGAAAGAGTTATCATGTCCACTTTAAATTTATAAATATATCTATATATATTACATAAGACAAGGAAGAGAGGGTTAGAAGATTATTAATGTGAGTCTATGGAATTTCATTTTGACATAAGGAAAGTAATGTACTGGGGGGCCAGAGAGATTTTACAGCAGGTACTTGCATTGAATGTGGCTGTCTTGAGTTCACTCCCTAGCATGACCCCCAAACCAGTCCCCACCTGGAGTGATCCCTAAGCACAGAGCCAATAGTGAGAACTGAGCACAGCACAAAAACAAAAAAAGGTATCTAACGCTCTAGTACTAAGACTCTTTTGCTGTATTACAGTACTTTAATGGTACCTTTAATGTCCAGACCACATAATAATAAGTAAGTATAAGCTAAACAATATATTTAACATTGTTGGTTTCTCCCTCCCTCCCACTTTTTTTTGGAGGGCCACGGTTGGCTCTATGCTCAAGGGTTACTCTTAGTGAGGCTTGGGGGACCCTAAAAGGTTCTGGAAATCAAACCTGGGTTGGCATGTGCCAGAACTCTATCTACTGTACACTCTATCCAACCCCTCCACCCCTCCTTTATTTCTTTTTAAGAACAAATTTACAAATTTTACTTTTGCTTACCCTACCGACAGAGACATTGTTTCAGTGCATCACTGATGTTTTTAGAGTACTTAGGAAAAAACTAATAATGGCATGAACATTAGTCCTATCTTCCCTCTGGTGTTTGCCAAGTACAGAAACGTGCACAGAGATGAGAGTTCTGTTGGTAGAGCACACGCTTAAATTTGATGCCCTGCATGTCATCACTGGGCCACTAGGGCATGTCTGCTATGGCTCCTTCCTATAAAACTTTAAAAATTAACAATAGAAATCATAAGTACACAATTAGCATGTAGTTAAAGACTGGCTTACCTGAAATTTTGACTTGAGACACTACTCCATCTCCTCCATCACTGTGTGCACGGACCTCTACAACGTATTCTCCATCCCTGGGGATTGGGACTTTAATGGAGTGTGTATGAGTTGAATACAATTTGCCATCATGTTGGCCATCAGGTCTATAAAGTACCTTAAAAGGTTTCAAAATATGCATATTTAATAAAATGATAAAAATGAGCCAATGCACTAATATTAAAAAAGAATTAGATTACACTTCTATTAAAATAATTGAGAAATCTATGTCTAATATTGTTTTGGGAAATTCACTTAATGGTTAATTCACAAAATTACTTTTTCATATTCATATTTCTTAGGGCTGCAGCGATAGCACAGCGGTAGGGTTATTGCCTCGCTATTGCCTTGCGGGCAGCCAGTATACCGAGCCGTGTTCCATTCCTCCGCCCCTCTTGGAGAGCCCAGCAAGCTACCGAGAGTATCTCACCTGCACAGCAAAGCCTGCCAAGCTACCCATGACGCATTCGATATGCCAAGCACAGTAACAGCAAGTCACAAAAAAATAAAGACGTTACTGGGCCCGCTCGAGCAAATCGTTGAACAACGGGAGGACAGTGTTTGTTTTTGATATTTCTTAGAGGAATCCAAGCACATAAATCATCTGAATTTAAGTAAATTAGGTTAATAATGTAAAATAAAGAGGGCAAAAAAGTGCCTTTAATGAAAACATATTTTATTTAAGTTGCCTAAAATATGCCTAAAATTTAATAGTTTTATTTAATATTACAGACTAATTTCAGAGATACTGCAGGTTGGTTCCAATTTATCACAATAAAGTAAATACGGTAAATGAGTCATACAAATGTTTTGGTTTCTCTGTGTATATAAAATTTTATTTATTCTCTAATATAAACTTTAGTGCTGTCATGATGATGATGATGATGATATGATGATGATGATGATGATGATGGTTTGGGGGCTTCAACTGGTGGTGCTCTGGGCTTATTTCTGGCTCTGTGATCAGGGATCACTCCTGGCAGAGCTCTGGGACCATATGTTGTACCAGGCATTGAACCCACATTGGCCAAACACAAGGCATTAGTCTTTGTAATATCTCTCAATTGTATTACCTCTCACTGTATTGTCTCTCAATTGTTCTATATCTCACATTGGTCACATGCATGCCTCGGTCATTGTACTATCTCTCAAGATTCTATACTGTAGGCTGTCTATTTTATACTGTTATATGAGCAACACTGCATAAAATTAGCATGTATATATATTTCAATTAAAATATATACTTTTTGCTAAAACACTAAGCTACAGAAAATGCTATTGTTGCTGTTGGAGGAGGATCTTTTTCCAGTCCTGACATATTAAGATGGTGGTCATCCCTGAATCACGGTCACGGTCCTCCCATTGTTCATCGATTTGCTCAAGTGGGCCCAGTAATGTCTCCATCTTGAGACTTGTTGTTACTGTGTTTGGCATATCGAATACATCATGGGTAGCTTGCCAGGCTTTGCCGTGTGGGCGAGATACTCTCGGTAGCTTGCTGGGCTCTCCGAGAGGCGCAGAGGAAGCAAACTCGGGTCGGCCATGTTGGCTGCGTGCAAGGCAAACGCCCTACCACTGTGCTATCACTCCAGCCCAAGATGGTGGTCATAGCAATTTAGAAATAGTAAGATTTGTAGCATATATAGACCCTCCCTTTCATAAAAGAGCTCTCTATAATTTGTGATACTGTTTGAAAATATAACACTATATATGCTATATGTACATAATCACACAATATGCATATATATACATATACATATAATATAAAATATATGCATATATGTATATGTGTATACATATATGTAATACATATCTATATATACAAATGTCAATACATATGATGTACATGAACATATATAATAACCGATAGCACAGCGGGTAGGGCGTTCGCCTTACAAGCGGCCAACATGGCCGACCCGAGTTCGATTCCTCCGCCCCTCTCGGAGAGCCCGGCAAGCTACCGAGAGTATTCGATATGCCAGACACAGTAACAACAAAGTCTCCAATGGAGACGTTACTAAAAAAGATATTCTTTCAAAATTGAATCAATCCTCTCAAATCTTGCTACTAGCTTATTAGCTAATTTTATGATCTGTTCTAAATACTTTGATGTCATTTCACAGTAATTGCAGCACAATCATCAATCTAGATTCTATCACAACAAATCTTTCTTTGTTCATCTACTGTAGTTACACCCTCCACTGAAATCTTGAGCAGTAAAAGTCATACAGAGGGTTAGAATAAGTTGTCTTCTAAACTCCTCTCACTATTAACAGTTTGACTTAATTATCTGATTATGTATCTTTAAAATGACCTCTAGATAAAATCGTGAATCCTTTCCAGTAGGTCTTAAAAATTGTCTTCATTCATATTCATTGGAGGGTTAATTCTCTGTATTAAAGCTAGCTTTTAAAAGATGTATTTCTTCAACAATAGATTGAAAGTTAAAATTATTCCTGGAAGACTGGTTATTGAGCCATCAAGCACAGAAATACAAATCAGTATTTTGAAGTTTTCTTTGTATGGATCTTTTAATTCTTTAGTTAAGCAGATTCCAAGGTTTTCTGATTTTCTGATGCATAATTCTGAATGAGATTGTTGTTTTAAATATATATTCTCTTTTGTTATTTACATAGAAAAACCATTGACTTTTGCTTATTAATTTTGTAGCCTTCCACTTTACTATACAAATGTATTGTTTCTAAAAGAGGTTTTTTTTTTGTAGTTTTTAAGACATTCTAAACATAGTATCACATAATTCACAAATAGTGAGAGTATGATTTCTTCCTTTCCTATCTGGATGCCCTTAATATCATTCTCTTACCTAATTGCTCTGACACATGTTTCTGGTACAATACCGAATAGAAATGGCAAGAGTGAAAAATTTGTCTGTCTGAACTTAGATGGAAGGCTTTTAGTTTTACCATACTAAGATAGCAGTAGCTGTGGGCTTGTGGTTCCTTGTCACTTGTCACTCCTTGATCATCAATTTGCTCCAGTGGGCGCCAGTAACGACTCCATTCATCCCTGCTGAGTGCTAGTATACCCCATTGGCATATTGGATGCTCTTTCAAGGTCAGGGGAATGAGGCCTGTTATTGTTACTGTTTATGGCATATCGAGTATGCCATGGGTAGCTTGCCAGGCTTTGCCATGCGGGCGGGATACTCTTGGTAGCTTGCCAGCTCTCCAACAGGAGGTACATCAGTGGGCTAGTGTATAAGAGGTCCAGGAATTACCACATCGCTCTCTTCATGGAGCTGTGTTTTATAGTCTCTGGATCTGGCTGTTGATGAGAATACAAGGCGCCAGGGGCAGTTTGTGAGTGTGACTGCCAAGTTACTGGAAAACTGGGGATCTGAGTGGAGGAGGCCCAGTCCTGATCCGAGCAAGCTTGGAGATCTCAGCCATAGGTCCCTCATACCTGGGTTCCTCTGTTGGTTCCTTCATGGGTGAGGCTTGTCCAAGCATGTGGAGAGTGGCTGAGCATGGCTGTAGCTGGATTCTTGAGGTCTTCGGCTGCTGGGGCTCTGCTTGGGGCGGGGAAGGAAACTCAACCTGCCCCCCTCCGAGGGGGCCCAGGTGAAGACAGCCTGGCTTGGGGGCAGGAGAGGGCTTGTGGTAAAGGACTTGAATATGTTCAGGAAATTTCCTTGAATTACCATTTTATTGAGAGTGTAGGAAGTTTTTTGAAAAAATGAAAAAAATGTCAACACTGTTTTCCATAGAGATTAAATCAATTTACACTACCACCAATAGTTTTTTTATCTCCAGATCCACTTCAGCGCTTGTTTCTGGACCTTTATGATAAGTGATTCTCACTGTTGTTAGGTGGCATCTCATTGCATTTTGTGTTTTCATTCTTTATTTGCATTGATAATCCAGAATGATTGACAATTTTTTCACATGCTTATAGTGAGTTGTATGCCTTATTTGGAGCTGGGACTATTCAGCTCTTCTTCCTATTTTTTAATTGGAATCATTGTTTTGTTATTATTAAGATATTGTTTTTGCTTGTTTGTTTGTTTGTTTTTACACTTTTAACTCTTTGTCACATCTGTATGTGGGAGTATTTTCTTCCATTCAACATAATGTCTTTCAGTTTTAGTGGCAGCTTTTTGTTTTTGTACTTTTTGTGCTTTGTTTTTGGGCCACACCTGGAGGTGCTCAGAGATTATCTCTGTACTCAGGGATCACTTGTGATGGGCTTGGGACACGATGGGCTACCAGAGGTCAAACCAAGTGGGGGAAGCAGGCAAGTCAAATGTCCTACCAACTATACCATTGCTCTGAACCAGTGTCAGTTTCTTTTACTCTCCAGAAGTTTTTTAATTAAATTTTTAATTAATTAAAAATCTTTCAATTAATTTTAATTTAATTTTAAATTATTTTTAATTAATTAAAAATTAATTAATTTTTAATTAATTTTTAGTTAATACTGTCCAGAAGTTTTTAAATGAAGATATAGGATCTTCATTTATTTTTGCTTATGTTTCCTTTTTTACTTGTTTTTGTTCAGAGTTGAACCCTGAAGCAAAACATCATAGGGGAGTTTGTCCATGTTTATCCCATGTATTTGATGAATTTGGGTCTAACTTCTAAACTTTTCATTCATTTTGAGTTAACTTTTGGGCTGGAGCGATAGAACAGCAGTAGAGCGTTTGCCTTACAAGCGGTCAGCATGGCCGACCCGAGTTCCATTCCTCGCCCCTCTTGGAGAGCCTGGCGAGCTACCTAGAGTATCTCGCCCGCACGGCAGAGCCTGGCAAGCTACCCGTGACGTATTCGATATGCCAAACACAGTAACAACAAGACTCACGATGGACACATTACTGAGCCTGCTCGAGCAAATCGATGAACAACGGGAGGACCATGACAGTGAGTTAACTTTTATTCATGATTCTAGACAGTGATCTAGTTTTGGGGCCAGGGTGATAGTACATGGGTAAGATGCTTGCCTTACAAATAGATGCAACCATATGTTTTATCTTTCTTTTTGTTGATGTCATGAATTAACATTAATTGATTTGCAAGTTTTGAGCAATCCTTTTGTTCCTGAAATAACCCTAGGATCTTTGGATGGGTAAATAGGCATTGGCTTCCATTAAAAGTCAACAAATGCATTAGTTCCTAACAAGAGAGTTGGAACGTCCTTTGAAGATGAAGCACTGATCTCTACATTCCAGCGATGTTAGTGTGCTGAATGCTACCTTCTTCCAACAGAAACTCTACCTAAAAAATCTGTTGTTTAGTGAAGCCACTTTCATAAATAGTCTTTGCTAAATATTTGGATAATTTGTTAGAGTTTTAAACATTGCAATTTCACCATGAATTTTTATGTTGAAAATATCTTCTCTACTTAAATCTCAAAAAGCAATATTTGCTGGTTTCAAACTTTTCTTTTACTGCTGCATTAACATTTTCAAACTTTATAGTGTTTTAGTGTTTTGCTTGGGTTAGACTTTGCCTTAAAGTATTTTTTAAAGTATTGCTATGGTTGATTTAGTCTTCTATCTAGGCCATTATGACTTTCTCCATCTCAGCAACAATAGGATTACTCTTCCTTTTTTTTTATCATGTGGATATTGTACTATTGCCTTTAATTTATTTTCTCATGGGGATGAGAGATAGTCAAGTAGGCAGGGCACTTGCCTTTCACACTGCTGACCCTACTTTGATTCCTAGCACTGCTATGGTTCCCAAAACACTACCAAAAATGGTACCTGAGAACCAAATCAGGAGTAATCTGTGAGCACCAGTGTGTTTGGACTCCACAGAATAAACAAACAAGAGCAAGAAACCTTTCTCTGCAATAAAAACCTAGCTAACACTGGCACAAGACCTTAAGCTTTCAGCCTTTTCAGCTTTCTGTATGCTTTTCTTACTAAACTTTTAATTTAAAGTGAGAGGTAAATCTCTGATTATTAGTGACATAGAGCACTTTTCATTTGCCTTTTGTTTATTTGTAATTATTCTTTAAGTAAGTTTCTGGTTGGATTACTTTTTATTGTAAAGTTCTACCAGTGGCTTATACATCTTTGATATTAACCTTTTATCAGATAAGTATTGGGTAAATAATTTTTCCCATTCCATGGGTTGCTTTTGCACTTGGTTACAATTTCTTTTGAGGTACAGAAGCATCTCAGTTTAATGTATTCCATTTGTTTATCTTTGCTTTCACTTGCTTGGTCAGCGGTGTTTCATCTTTGAAGATCCTTTAGCTTCAATGTCATGGAGGGTTCTACCTATGTTTTCCTCCATGTACCTTATGGATTCAGGTCTGATATTGAAGTATTTAATCCATTTTGATCTGACTTCTGTGCCTGGCATTAGAAAGAGGTCTGAGTGCATATTTTTTGCATGTAACTGCCCAGTTTTCCCAGCACCACTTGTTGAAGAGGCTTTTCTTGTTCCTCTTCACAATTCTTGTTCCTTAATCAAAGATTACATGATCATATATTCGCAGGTCAGTGTTAGGATATTCAACTCTGTTCCATTTATCTGTACCGTTTGTAGTAGAGTTTGAAGTTAGAGAAAGTGATGCCGCACATTTTCTTTTTCAAAACCAAGGACTGCTTTACCTATCTGTGGGGTTTATTGTTCCATATGAATTTCAGGAGTGTTTTATCTATTTTTTTCTGAAAAAATCTTATCAGTATCTTTACAGGGACTGCACTGAATTTGTAGAATTTGGGGGGTGTACTGCCATTTTGACAATGTTATTCCTACCTATCCAAGGGCAGGGGATGTGCCTCTATCTCCTCCTGCTAACTTTTATTTCTTGAAGTAGTGTTTTGTAGTTTTCCTGTAGCCACCAGGAAAAATGAAAACATGAAATTCATTATAAGAGGATAGATAATGAAGAGTATCATGCTGAGTGAAATAAGTCAGAAGAAGAGAGATAGACATAAAATGATTTTACTCATTTGTAGGATATTAAAAAATGTAGTATGAGACTAATTACATTCAAGGACAGTGGAAATAAGGCACAGTAGAAATGAGGACAATCGCCTTCACTCTTTTCTTAAGCTGATTCCAAGTTACTTAATTTTCTGAGGCACACTTTGTGAACAAGATATTTTTTAAAATCTCTCTTTCTTCTCTAATCATCAGAGAGATCCAGATCAAAACAACAATGAGGTATCATCTTAAACCTTAGAGACTGGCACACATAAAAAAGAACAAGAACAATCAGTGCTATTATGTATGCATGCAGGGAGAAGGGGTGCTCTCATTCATTGTTGGTGGGAATGCCTGATAGTCCTTTTTTTAAAAACAATATGGGGATTCCTCAAAAAACTGTAAATTGAGCTGCCATATGATCCAACAATACCATTTCTGAGAATATACCCCGATGGCCCAAAAGCACACTGAAGAAACACCATCTGCACTTCTATATTCATTGCAGCACTATTCACAATGGCCAGAATCTGGAAACAACCCGAGTGCCTGAGAACAGACAATTGGATAAAGAAACTATGATATAGCTACATAAGGAATCCTAAACAGCCACCAGGAAAGATGAAGAATGGAATTTGCTTAAAAATGGATGGGCAATGGAGAGTATCATGATGAGTGAAATGAGTCAGATGGAGAGGGACAGACATAGAATGACTGCACTCATTTGTGGGATATAAAAAAAAAAACTTAGCATGAGACTAATACCTAAGGACAACAGAAACAAGGGGCAGGAGGACTGCACTGTTGGAAGCTTTCACATGGCAGATCAAGTTAAATTTGAGCACCATATTTTGTCACCTTAGTACCATCAAGAGTGATCCCTGAGCACAGTCAGGAGTAAGCTCTAAACAGTGCTGGATGTAGCTCCAAAATAGTGCCCCCCTCCCCGAAAAAAAACTTTGTGATATCTGCTTTTATCACCTAACTAGTCTAGCAACATAATTTTTGTTGTTATTAGTTTGGGGGACACACCTGACAGTGCTCAACAATGTTCTGTGCTCAAGTGTTACTCCAGATACTTTTGGACCATGAGGATCCCAAAGCAGGGTAACAACTATGAAAAACAAGTGCCCAGCCTTTGATTTATCTTCCCAGTCCCAATGACGCTATACATACTATGTATGTATGATTACATAGTTGTAATAATCACAACAATAATAATAATATTCTTGTGTGTATAAATATTTTATTTAGGGATTACACCTGGCTGTGTTCAGACTTTACACCTAGATATGTGATCAGTATCATGCCTGGTGCTGCTCAGGGGAATACTTGAAGTGCAAAGGATCCAACTAGGGATGGCTGCACTCAAGGCAATTATATTAACCTCTATACAATCACTCAGGCCCTTATTTTTAAAAAACAATTAATGATTTGATATATAATGATTTTCCTTAGAATTTATAATGCTCTTCTCATTTCAAAACTCATTACAATAATGTCATCTGTTTCTTCTATATAGCTAGGAAAAGAAAACTGAATGAATTTTTATTAAGAGCATAAAGTTTAATAAATAATCACTCTTTACAAAGAATGAAGCTTACATCATCATCTTTTATTACCTTATATCCTGTCACAGTAGATTCATTTGATAGTGCGACTACATGATCCCAGGTAATGATGTAATTTGAACCAGACCTTACAGAACTGATGATCCTTGGTGGCTGGCTGGGAGCTGTGAAAAATAACAATGAACTGACAGTTATCATTCACTCTATTTCCTAATGATATTGGCTTTGCTTCCATAATGAACAGTTTACATTAGTACTGCAAACAAATTTACGTCACAAATTATAATACTAATGATTATGATATGACAACAACAGCTACTTTTGATGAATATTTTGTATGCTAAGCATTTTGCACTCATGGTCCAATTAATGCACTTCCTGGTCTTGTAGGGCAGCTTATATATATGAAATTCTATTCTCATCATACTTTCTTGGGTTTCTACCAGTCTTTTTAACTTCTTGTTTTCAAGAACATCAATCACCTCTACATGGGCAAATTTGATGCCACTCTTTATTCTCTTTTTCAAATTTTAAATCATGAAATAGTTCACAGAACTGTCCTAGTATTTTTTGAAATTCCTTCTTTACTCGAATTCCTGATCTCTTCCTTCGTGTCTCCTCCTGCTTGCTTCTCAGGCTGCTCTCATTTACAAAGTACCCTTTTGGCCCAGTTTCTAAAAGCTGAAATAACTTAGGAATTAATTTTATGAATAAGTTAGTCTATCCTGGAATTATTTTTTAAAAACATAAAATCAATTTAAAAAATCATAGATATTACTCTCTGACGTAAAATATTAATATCTCACTTTAAAGGAACTCAAACTACTTACTATGACCTATAACTATGAAGAATGTCTTAACTCACCTTCTGTACAGCTCCTTTGCTTCTCCTATGCTTCACCGTGACTTTATTCACCTTATTATACTTACTGCATATGAAATTTTTTCTACTTTAAGACTTTTTTGCCCTAGATATTTTCACTCCCTGTGATAATTATCTCTGCCCCCTTAAATGTCTTTTATTATTACTATTCATATCCTGATCTTGTAGCATCTTCTCAAATAGAATTTTCTGGCATCATTTATTCCTTTTTCAGTTATTTCCCCCTTTGACCTAGCCATAATGCTTCTGTATTCTCAATAATCTAAATAGGGAGGTGCACATAGCATACTTTTGATTAATGAATAAGTGCAGGAAAGGAAAAGAAAGAAAACTGTAGCTTAAAATGTGAGGTAAATGTCACACACACTTATCCAATGTCTAAAAATGAAGTCTTGTTCTTGTGATTTATTTAAAGAACTTCTACTTACCTTAGCAAATTTCAGAAATGTTTAAAGAAAACTAATTATGCTATCAAATTCTGATTAACTATCCCAGAGCCCTGCACATAAATTTCCTCTAAAACATTAAGTTTGAATTGTAGAAAGAGATATCAAAAAGAAGTTAGGAAGATAAAATTGACAAAAAATGTGTTTAAGGTAAAGGATCTTGCTATATGAGAATATACAATAAAGTAGGAATAAATTGAAATCACAATATTTAATTTAAATTTGTATTTAGTAGTGGCATTTGTATATAGTATTTTTATTCTGTAAATAAAAACAAAAATGGACAGATTTTTAATTTTTATGCTCTCTGCATTTCTATGAAAACAACGTTTAAAATCATAGAATAACTGCAAAACAATTATTTCTTTTTTTTTTTAATTTAGGAGTACTGCTCTTAATTCAGTCACTGATTAGGCTGATTGAATTGGGCATGAACTCCACCTTTATTTTTTTTCATTTTTTATAATTGTATTTATTGAATCACTTTGAGAGCAGTTACAAAGCTTTCAGATTTAAGTCTCGGTCATACAATGAAGCACCCGTACCTTCACCAGTGCCCATTTTCCACCACCAAAAACCCCAGTATATCCCCATCCTACACCCTCCCCCTACCTGTGGGGCAGATGATTTTCACATTTCTCTCTCTCTCTACTTTGATTACATTCAATATTTTGACACCAGACCCACCATTATTATATGGGATTTTACCCTAACACTCAGATCTGCTGAAAAGGCAACAGTAGACAATTTCTTTTCTATTGCTGGTTATGAATAACATATGATGTCGCGCGGCTGCAGTAGTGGCTGCACAATTTTGAAATTCTGAAATTTTACCAATTAAATCTGGAGAGATTTCTGCTAAAACGTGCTGGGTTCTGAGACTTGTTCCTGAGTCTCTTGGATCATGGCCATTAAGCAGCTTGATCAGGAGCCAGAGAGGCCACTCATGGGTGGCGACTTTGGGTCTTGTTGGGACGGGAAAAAAAGGGCCTGCTCCACACCCATCCCATGAGGCCCCACATGTCTCATCACTGTGGGCCCAAACATGACTGTCTAATGGCCTCTAGAGGATGGTGGTCACTGAGCTGCCAAGGGTGAGCAAGCGGAGGGACAGCACCCTTTTCCCCCTGGGTTGGCCCGGTGATAGTAACCTACTGCACAGTCCAGACACATTTCTACCAAAAGCCGCTCAGTTTTGAGATCTGTTTCTGAGTCTCCGGGATCATGGCCGTTAAGCAGCTTGATCAGGAGCCAGAGAGGCCATTTGTGGGCGGTGGCTCGGGGTCTCATTGGGAAGGGGAGGAAAGGGTCGGCTCCACCCCCATCCCATGAGGCTCCACATGTCTCGTCACTGCTAGCCCAAATCTGACTGTCCAGTGGCCTCTGGGGGATGACAGCCACCGGGCCGCCAGGGGGAACATGCCAAGGCACAAAATCTATTCCCACCTGGGGTGGCCTGGCACCAGTAACCTACTGCAGGGACCAGATGTGTTTCTGCCAAAAGCCATTGGGTTCTGAGATTTGTTTCTGAGTCTCTGGGATCATGGCCATTAAGCAGTCTGATCAGGAACCAGAGGGGTCATGCCTCCAATTATATAGCTGAGATGGAGGTAGTTTGTGGGTGTTTCTCCCACGTTCCTAACTTTTGGCCGTTCACTTTCTTGGTAAATTTTGCCCCAAGTTTTTAGGGTCTGGCCAAAGGCAAAGCAGCAATTTTGGGATATCTGGAAATCTGAAGGCACCATCAGGCTGCTGATGCACTCGACCTGCTGGTGGCACCAGACCCCCAAAAGCAATTATTTCTTAATGAAAATTTGAAAATAAGTCTTTATCAAGGGAGTTTATATCATTTGTGTAATTTTATATAAATTTATGTAAGTTTATACCACAAAACACTGTGTGTGGATATTCTCCCTAATTTTGTTACCTATAAAGACCAGGTTTTAAAAAATTCTTGTGTGACAATAAAAAATAAAACTGAACACTATATGTGCTCATATTGCTATGCAGAAAATTTCTATCAAATGTATCTGACATGATGAAACCATCAATAGATTTAACAACGATCTAATGAAAATACTGAGACATACGTGCTTTCTTGGTGAAAGTTTCAATCATCTCACTGGGGGGCCCACACCCTGCACTGTTGCAAGCTCTGACTTCTATGAAGTACTGGGTGTCTGGCAGAAGGTTCTCCAACCTGGCAGAGTACTCTTGGCTCGTGACTTGCACACGGTGTGCGGCTGCTTCTTTGTCATGGGCAGCCCAGTATCGAATCTGTAAAGAATCAAGGTGGATAATATAATGTCACAAAATTCATAAAAATTTTCATTGAACTCCACAAGAAGAAAACTTCCAATCCCATTAAAAAATGGGTCAATGAAATGAACAGAAACTTTCTCAAAGAAGAAATTCGAATGGCAAAAAAGGCACATGATAAAATGCTCTACATCATTAATCATCTGGGAGATGCAGATCAAAACCACAATGAGATATCATCTCACACCACAGAAACTGGCCCACATCCAAAAGAACAAAAGCAACTGGTGTTGGCATGGATGTGGCGAGAAAGGGACACTCCTTCACTGCTGGTGGTAATGCCGACTGGTTCAGCCCTTTTGGAAAACAGTATGGATGATTTTCAAAAAATTAGAAATTGAGCTCCCATTTGACCCAGCAATACCACTCCTGGGAATATATCCCAGAGAGGCAAAAAAGTATGGTCAAAGTGACATCTGCACTTGTTTGTTCCTTGAAGCACTCTTTACAATAGCCAGAATCTGGAAAAAACCTGAGTGCCTGAGAAGAGATGACTGGTTAAAGAAACTTTGGAACATCTACACAATGGAGTACTATGTAGCTATTAGAAAATATGAAGTCATAAAATTTACATACAAGTGGTACTGCATGGAAAGTATCATGCTAAGCAAAATGAGTCAGAAAGAGAGGGACACACATAGAAAGATTGCATTCATCTAGGGAACATAAAGTAACAAAACAGGACACTAACACCCAAGAATAGCTGAGATAAGTACCAGGAGATTCACTCCATGGCTTGGAGGCCAGCCACACATGCTAGGGGAAAAGACAGCTCAGATAGAGAAGGGAGCACCAAGTAAAGGTATTGGGATGATCCTCCCAGGATGGAAGATGAATGCTGAAAGTAGACTATAGACCAAACATGATTGCCACTCAATGCAAACCAAAGCACCCAAAAGGAGAGAGAGAACAAAAGGGAACGCTATGCCACAGAGACAGGGTGGGATGGGGGGAATGAGGGGTGGGAGGGATACTGTGATCTGTGGTGGTGGAAAATGGGCACTGGTGGAGGGATGTGTACTTGATTATTGTATAATTAAAACCCAAGCACAAAAATGTATAAGTCTAGAATTGTGCCTCATGGTGTTTCACTAATAAAAATTTCTTTCAACTGAGTTTGTAACCAGTGATTTAGAAAGAATTTCATATTCTCCAAATATACTTGCTATGTGCACTTCCCTCAGTCTTAGAATATGGTAAGTTAAACAATGCTGCTACCATTAAAGATATTTGTTGAAGACCAAAACTTTACTTCATTGGCTGCAATCTTTCTCTACTGGCATAAAAACAAAAGCAAAATAGTCCTCTACATAGGATTGATTTTTAAAATATAAAAGTGGTTTTAAGAAGCATTTTCCAAAATAATATTTCTAAATTTTACAACTATTTCAATTTGCTATGAAACATTAAGCAGTATGACAGAAATATAACCCAACTTTTCCAATTTTTTTGTAAAATTATTTCCTTAGAATCGAATACAGAAAAAATAATGAATATTATGTATTAAATGCTATTATGTTACCAGTAAAATAATTTTATTTGAATATTTTTATCCATTTGCAGTCATAAAGTTTTTTGTCAATGATATAGTCTTTGTTGCTTAAGTCATAATAAATTATTTTATTATTTAAATAAGATTACTGAATTCTCAAGAAACATATAAAAATACCTAATGTACAAATTTTAAATAATTGTCAATTATACTGATACTTTACACATTTTAGATGACTGTATAAGGAAGGATGTTATTTTCATAATAAAGCAGTATCTAGGGAAATTGTCTGATACTGAGAAAAATGTTTATAAAATGTTTAATACAATCCTTAATTTCTTATTTACATAAAATATGCACAATCATTAAAAATGGAACTTAACAAAAGTTCTGAGCTAGAACTTTCAAAAATAAAATTTAGCAATAGGTAGTACTTAACAAAAGATCTGGATTCACCAGTGAGTTTCATGAAATTTTTAGAGAAATTCCTAGCCATACTACTCAATTTCTTCTCATGAAATAGAAGAAATAAGAATCCCACCGAACAATTGTTGTTGTTGTTGCTGTTGTTCTTGCTTTGGCACGGGGGGTGGGGATGGAGGTGGCATTCATTTCCTTTTTTCCCAAAGTTTAAACATTTAAACAAGTTTACAAAGTAGTTTATGATTGTTACAGGCATCCAATCAATATTACAATACCAAACCCACCACCACTGTCTCCATTTTCCCAAACACATCTCAAGCCTGTCCCGGTAAGCAACTCACAATAGTTTATTTATATTGATTGTTACCACTAAATGGCTAATGGGATGATCAAAAGATATTTCTGTAGAAGAAAATCTGTGAAAAAAATCCGAGTCCACGAATTTGAGGAGCCTGGCCACAGCACCCGGCTGCACCAGGAGTCAAAGCTAGATCGGGGTACAAAAGCTGCAAGAATTGGTGGGACCACATGGCACCACTGGGACCCCCCGCCTGGTACTGGTCCAGGACACGAATATACCGAACACAATGGGGTCACCTGTTGGAAGGCGGCAAATGAAAAGGCAGTGCTGCGAGGGGCAGAAGCTGCTGGAGGTGCTCCAGACTGGGTATGGCCCAAATATTTTACATTTATATGTATGTGCATATATATATATACACACCACACACACACACACACACACACATTACTGTCACTGTTCATGATTTTTGCTCGAGAGGGCCCAGTAATATCTCCATCGTGAGACTTGTTGTTACTGTGTTTGGCATATTGAATATGTCATGGGTAGCTTGCCAGGCTTTGCCGTGCCGGCGAGATACTCTCGGTAGCTTGCCGGGCTCTCCGAGAGGGGCGGAGGAATCGAACCTGGCTATATATATATATATATATATATATATATATATATACATATATATATACACACATATACACACACACACACGTATATGCACATAAGGTTTGAAGGGGCCATTTCTGGTAGTGCTCACAGGACATATGGAGTGCTGGGAATCAAACTGAGGTTTGTCACATCCAAAGCAGTTTCTTCGTTACTATCTCTTCAAATCAGAATGACTTTTTTGTTTTGTTTTTAGTCACACCCAGAGATGCTCAGGAATTCCTCCTGACTCTGCACTCAAGAGTTACTCCTGACGGTGCCCAAGGGATTGTATAGACTACAAGAGATGGAACCCAGGTCAGCAATGTGCCAGGCAAACACCTGCTACACTATAGCTCAGGAACTACAGAATTAATTTTTAAAGGTGCATTTTAATTAAAAATGCTTCACAAAAATTGGAAATTCAATATTTTATAAGATTGTCTTAAAAGGTTTTGTTTAAACAAATATTATTACTTTGTCATTATTATTATTATATATTTTTCCTAACTGTTTACCTGCCTTCAGAATTCTAAAAAACATTTACTACACTGAAGCAAAGTCATAGGAAGGCCCTGAGCATGGCTGGGGTGATCCCCAAACGCTGAAAACGAACCAAAAAAGATACAGGAGGAACTGGGTGGGCTCTTTACTGTCCCCCATCCTAAAGTCTGGCACCCACACAAAAGGAATGCTGGACCCTCACCATTTTTTTCCCCAGAACTACCCTCATGGAGTCCCTTTAAAACCACATCCTGGCAAAGAAGTAAGTTCATCTATACCTTATATAAGAAGTGCCTGTGAACCCAGGCCTTACTGCTCCATAACTCACTGTAAGATACAAAGACAGCCTAACTTCAGGTTCCTAACCACACAACAACGCATAGGAAACAATTCCAAACTGCAAAGATAACAATGATAAAACAACACAGAAACTCACTAGGTTAGTGAGTGAAGTCGCTAGCCCAGATGAATCAAGCAGTAATAGTGAATGATATCACCTCTAAGATAAGGAATATAGAATGGAGTGGAGTTGCCAAGTTTGCATAAGGAGCACAAAAAGGCAATAAAATGCACTGCTTATAAAATACAAGATGATATAAGAGCAAAAATTAGGAAAATGCAAACAAAAATACAAGCAGAAATGACAGATCTGAAAAACTTGGTAGGTGAAATTAAAAACTCACTGAAAGTCATCAGCAGCAGAGTAACAATTGTTGAGGACAGAATCAGTGAGCTCCAAAATGAGGTGCAGATAATCTCCAGATAATAGCAGAAGATGCAAAGACCCTCAAAATAAAAGAACAGATATCAAGAGAAAATTGAGAAGAAGCCTAGAGGAGTAAGAGAAGAATCACTGGAGTCCTAGAGGGACAGGAAGAAAACTCTGATGAAGAAACAACTGACAAAGCCATTTATGAGATGTTCCCAGGGTTGGAGAGCTCATGCACCCAGATTCAGGAGGCCCAAAGGGTATCACCTAAATAAGGCCAAGTAAAAATACTCCAAGGCACATCCTAATCAGAATAACATAAATGATAGATAGTGATAGAATACTGAAAGCAGAAAGATCAAAGAAAAAATTGGTTATGAACACGCATCCTTAAGATCTACAGCCAACTAATCTGATGAAACTCTCCAAGCCTAAATACAGTGGGGAATACAGTGAAAAAAATCAATGAAATGAATCCTTCACCAAGAATACTTTACCCAGCTAGACTCTCATTCGTACTTGAAGGAACAACACACATCTTCACAAACAACTCAGGAACTTCATAGACTCAAAACCATGGTTTCAGGAAAAACTAAATGGGCTACTTTAAGACAAGACATATCAACCTCCAGGAAAAACATGGGACAAAATCCCGTAACAAATATCTCTTTCATGCCAACGGGTTAAATGAACCAAATAAAAGAATAGAATGGCAAAACAGATCCAAATATTGAACCCAACATTCTGCTGCCTGCAAGGAAACATATCTTAACAGTCAGAGCAAACACAGATTCTGATTCAAAATCTGAAAACAATTCTGTAAGCAAACAACTCCCTCAGAAAAGCTGGGGTGACTGTACTAGTATCAGACCACATAGATGCCAGACTGAAGAAGA